AATAAGGTATTACTAATAAGTCAAAATACATTTTCTTATCTAACAAACACTCTATGATGTTATATGTATATCCACACGACTATACAGGTATTAAAATAAATACCAATTTAAAACTCATTGAACTAAACAAATATAAAATAGGTGCAAATAAGATAGCTAGAACCTATATGTAAACCGTTATTTTTATATTTAAATGTACAGAAAAACGAGTTTAAACGTGGAAAAAATACCATTTAAATTGTATATATTCTATATAACTAAAAAACAGAACAAAAACATCATTAGTTTTCAAGATTATCAAATCATTTTGAAAAAAAATAAGGCATTTTGTATTGCTTGCATGCATATTTGAATTTATAATAGCCAATCTCGGAGAGTTTTTGCCACGATTAAAGATAGTACTATCTTTAATCGTGGTTTTTGCTCATAAAGTTAGTAAGTATAGTGTTTTGTTTATGTATATAAGTGTGATTATTGGAATTTTAATCGATTCATTAATCAAAAACTATCCATTTAACCTACATAATGGGTTATCGCTACTAATAGGTAATCGGGAACAAATTGATAATTAATTACCTAGATAAATTATTGATATTCAAACATTGTACATAAGAGTGTATAATTTATAATTTAAATAAATCAAAGACAAATCTATGAAAAAGTTTGTTTTTAAATTTGATAGCAGATATTGTAGGTGCCACCTAGCAGCTTAGACTTAGCCATAACAAAGAGGACTATCTGGTTTTCACTATGACGCGTTAAATGTTAATATTTTATAATACATAACATGTATTTGATACTTAATACCCAAACAGTGATATATTTGAATACGATAGAGTTAAGTAAAAACGATTTGCTAAACACGTCACTTTTCAAAAAATTCTTCACCCTAAATAAATTATCATTTTAATTTATACAATTCGTCATAATGGATATTCATTAGAAAATATTTAGACAATAGAAAGCGTCAGACCAAGGAACATCAATGATACGTGTGGACACAGAAGAGCGGCCAATTCATGAAACGAGACGAAAATAGATGTATACCTCTCGCTCAAAGTTTAATGTCATGCCGTTCGGGAAGCTGAAAACGCGTCGTACCAGCAATCAGCAGCATCCACCCTAGCTGGCTACTAGCCCAACGAAAAATCTTCAATACTCGATATTTGTGTATGGTTTCGTCTTTTAACGCACACTACAGTTATTGTAAATTTGTTGAAATTTCTAATTGATGTTATATATGAGTGAATATATTATATACAAGTGTATATTATATGATATCATATGGCAGGTAGCTATAATAACAGTTTACGTTTCCTGTGTAGATATGGTAAAATTGTTAAAAAAAAAAATGAAATAATTATTATTACCTACCACAAGTACCCATCTAATCAATATTGCAATCAAGACTGTATACCTTAATACCTAACACAGCAGCAATTGTGGGTTTTTCATTTAAGTACGAGTCAATCCGGTGCGATGTACGTCGGCGTCGCATCGGAATTATCAATTAAAGAGCGTCATCTGCTGATTTAATATCTTTTAACGAACTTTCAAATTACACCGACGATTGAATGGACAATAAAATCTGGCAAACACCCATTCGTTGCTACCTACTTACGAAATATTATCGTCGGTGTATATAATATATCGTTAGCTTGACGAAACGACTCGTCACAATTACAAATCTATACTTATATTATATCATTAAATATACACCCGCTAAGTGCCGATAAAACGATGGATGCGTAGGGTATACCACCCACTACTTTATATACAAGTCGGTATATATATATATATATTGTACATGTCGACTTTCGAGAGACGTAAGAGATCGCGAGGCCAGCGCATCGGGGCGTTTATGATTTTCGTATCAGGTATAGAGTATGTGCCGTATATATTACAGGTGTCGTTGATGAGATTTTAAAACGCAGTATTAAATTCGAATCAAACTGTTTGAATAAAAAAGACCCCATTGTGCGCAGAAGGCCATCCACAAAACCGTAAACGGAACACGGCGATAACGTGCATCGGGTCCTCTTACCCGTTATTATTATATCTAGGTACGTCATATTACAACCACAGATTATCTCAAATGTACCTACAAAGTACAAACCCATGTATATTTATATAATACCCAGGTAGTGTTATATATATTTATTATTTATATCTTATACAGGATGACTTTTTAAGCATTTCCGCCTAATTCTTATGTTTCAACTCTAAATTATGCATGTATTACTCAGATTCTGATTTTTTTAAATGTTTAGTGAAATTAAAGACAATATTTTTCACAATATTTATAGAAGTACCTATACAGCAGCGATACCCATACCAACTTCAGATTTTCATACGAGAACCTAAGGGTCTTAAATACAAATTGTGAATCAGATGCTCCATCAGACTTTTCTGAAAATGTTGACGTATTATTATCATCGGAATTTGAAAAGTTTTCGAATTATTCTCCTTTAAATACTAAGGATACAGGTAATAGTCCAATCAATACTTCGTAAATGAATACGAACTCACCAATTATAATTAAGTATGCAATATATTAAATTAAATATTTGTTAATAATTACTACTTACTATAATAATTATTACTACTTAGTCAACTAAAGGTATACTCGACAATTTTATAATATTACAAAATGTTCGTTGATTAATGATACTATACGCCCAATCATTTTCAAAACAAAAGTAAATAATATCTTTTTAATATACTATAATATTATGGATAGTATTTAAAGAAGAAGAATTCTATTGAATAACTCAAATTTCGATTACAATACATTTAAATTTTCAGGAAAGTTATATCTAATTTTCTGCAATTTACAATAAAACATGTATAGGTCCTCATTTGAAAAACTAAAGTTTGTATCGACTCAGGATTGGTATTCCTTGAATGTTATGAAAAATATAAGTACCCATTCAAAACAATACACTTAAAAATTCCAAAAATAAGAATTTTAATGTAACACGCATTTTTTTAAACATGTTTAAAAAATCACTGTGTGTACACCCAGGTATAATAATATTGTTGATATCGATGCGCGGTAACACTTCTGAATAGCGAGCCTGATCATCTCACGGGACGACAATGATTTGCGAACGTCCGGAATTCCGGGCCGTCAATAGGTATTCATTAAATATTATTATATTATGTTATTGGCACGGACGCGGCGGACGAGTGGACGAACGGGGCTGTGGCGATGAGTGATGACGGAAACGCGGCGTTGTATTATAATATTATTATTATGCGAATAGGATACCGGATCCATTGTGCATCGGATCTGCCGATCGAAACAGCGATGACAAAACGATAATGGCAAGTGAAACGATCCACAAATCGAGAGGTGGACCATTACACAATGCTGTTGTCGATGTGCTCGTAACGGGACAACGTGCCTCCGGCCAACGGAGCGGTCCCGAGAACCCGATCCGCGTGACCCCTCGGGGTGTACGAGATCCGAGGTGGGCGCCACGACCGACGGCTAAACGGTGGCGGATGATCCGAGATCTCGCACACTCACACGTCGTGGAACGTGTCTGGCGGCTGTCGGACAAGGTCGAGACGGAGCGGCGTCTGCGGCGGTAGCGTTTAAAAATAATAATAATACGGACGCCCACGCACAGATCGCACGTAACCTCTCGATCGTTATGCCGCCGCGGAAATATGCAAATTAACGCGAGCGCGCGCGTGTACATCATTTATCACGACCGACCGTAGTGTTGCATATTATGATATGATACGTTTTTTACGCAGTCATCGTCATCGATCAGTGATAAATATACATTAATAATAACAGCAATAATTGTGGTTCACTGGGCCAGCGGACCCCTTCACCAATATATATCGTTAGTATGTGTTATTATTATTGTTGTTATTATGCGGCACACGTGTGCCGCCGCCACACCACGACGGACAGACGATGATAAGACGTTATCGGCATTATAATATTATTATTATTTTTTTTTTTTTTTATAATAAATTGTAATAAAATTGTATACAACGTAAGAAAACGGTCCGCCGGCGAACCGGTCGAATGAGTTTGAAAAAAAAAAATAGTATAATAATAACAATGAGCGATTTTTTTCCATTCCACCCGACCGGCCTGTCAACGTACAAAAATGTTGCAGCATGAAAAAAATCGCAAACGAGTCATTGAACGTTTAATTTTTATTTTCTTCGGATCGAGAGTCGACGACTTTTCCACAGCAGTACTTATTAAACCTACGCTATAATTATAATATTGTAGTGTTGTGATCACCACAAAAAGGTTGCAATTGCATGGTGTAGTACCTACTCACTACCACCACCACTAGTAGGGTTAATCCGTACCAAGGTCGAAAACATTTAGGCCAAGTCACAAGTCTAAAATATCAATAATAATAACAGCCAAGTACCTATAGATTATTAAACAGCTTACTGTAACCCTTTTTTAGTTTTATTAACAATGACACAGTAACTAATAAAATTCAACTCTGTATACATAATATTATTATACCTATCAAATTTACAAAACTTTATTCTGATTACTGATCATATTGTCATGTTGTCATACCATCACAATGGCACATAGGTAAATAGTTACATAATGTATACTTGAGTTTTAAATCATATGATTATTCTATTAATGATAACAAAAATGAAGAACACATAATTCTAGATGTTGAGCTCTACATGGTTGAAAATAAAAACCAAAATAAAAACTGTTTAACAAGCCAAAGCAATTTCCGCCACATATATGGAATGCACTAAACTTTAATAACAGAGTGATGTACCTTATAAATACTAAATCCAGAGCATGGGTTGAGTGGAGTGACCACTGCCAAAGGGTACAACTCAATTAACCTACATTATAAATTAACATCCTATTCAATCCCTTAATTATTAAAAAGTATAGCCTTATCATAGTGTATTTACCAAAGTATTTAAAGTCAACGGTAAGCAATATCAAACAATACAAAATGTCAAAATGTCAAAATATATTCACTCACCAGCTATTCGGAGTACAGCCCGGTCAGCTGGGTCCAACTGGAGTATGCTGAGAGGTTTGTCTTTTGCCCAGTCCTTAAGGCTCTGGTCTGAATCAAAATCCATGACTGTCGGCTTTCAAACAACTCATCGGCCGCAAGCGGTAACCGACCCGTCTACGGCCAATACACGGTACACTCAGGACGGCATCGGCTGCAGCTGCGGAAACCGTACTGCACTCGTTGCGAAAATCCTAAAGGCCCGAGTCGATTTCAAAATGATTCAAAATTTTGTTACAAAAAAAAAAAAATTTGAAATAAATCTCTGCTGTCAGAATAGGGAGCAACGTCAGCTATCGCACAGCCCTACTGTTGTTCGTACCTGTCGGCGCCGAGACGACCACGACTCGGAGAAGACGAGCTACTACTGCGAATTCTGTGTTTCGACGATCGCGGATGCGGAACGTCGGCGGGCGACGCGCTGACGTGCCGGCGACGGTAGTCGAGGCTCTGGCTGCGAGGTAGTAACCGGCGGCCCGAGTGACCGCGACAGCTAAGGACCCGGTAACCGGGGAACACAAATGCCTAGTAAATCGTTATCAGCACGATGAATAAAAAAAATTCCGACCAGCGGGAGGGAGACGGATCAGTACGGCGCGGTGTCGATCAACGTGCTGAAAAACGAAGAGACGAGGTTCATGACCCGGCGATGCGACGAGAAAAAATTATTTACGGCAAGCGCGGAGATGATGATATGCCGTAAACAGACTGTGCAACTACATGAGTACACTACTACACTACGGACTAGGGGGACACGACGCGTGGAACAGGGGAATATTATTAAAGTAAACAGTAAAAAACGTAGTGTACCGGAGGCATACCGCGTACACGAATAATAACAATATTCGGACATTCGGTACTCGAACGATTGAAACGATATTGAATCACTCGTGCCCGCCGAGCAGTGTGACCAGCCGAGCAACTGCGATAACAGTACCGCGCTTGTGATAACAACGTTCGGCAGTCAACTACGTGATCGCCATCTGTCGGTTACACTGGCAAATAAGCCAGTACGTCTCTTTCGGTTTTCTTTGAAAAAAACAATGACCAACGCGTGATTCTTGACCATTGAAATACTGTAGTAGTGTATTACCATACCATGTTTTTATCGTCCACACGAAATTAAAACGTAAAGTTAAAACGCAATCTTTTTGCCGCTTAGCCGCTTAGGCGTCAAAAACTCCGATGCGATTCTACGCCCGGCCGACAGGTGGCGCCACCGTCCGCGGGTCGATGACACCCGGTCGCGTCCTCGACGTCGTTTTTCTTCCTGCCGGGCGGACAGCCTGCTTATCAGATACTGCTTAAAAAATCATTAATGAATAATATCGTATTTTTGTTGTCGTGATAATAAAGCGTTTAGCAATACACGAATAATAATAACAAACGCACGGGAAAATTTTCGCCCGTGCCAACGTTGTGCTAGACGAGAACGGAAAACGTTCTTACGACGTCACTGCGGCCGTCTCGATGCTCATAAATCGTATATTTTCCACCGTCAATTTCCATAAGGTCATCGCACAAACGAGCATAGCTCACGGTTATTGTTATTATCGACGTCAAAGTTATTAAAGCTCAAGTAATTTTTCGTCTTACATTATTATTTTTTTTTTTTACAACTTAATTAATGCTGTAAACACTTTAGTTTTTTCGAAAACGATTCGTCAAACGCTGTTTGGGCCGATCAACGTGTATCAGGTAAGTTGTTGGATCCATGCCCATATTTGCTCGTCTTACAGGCCACTGTGCATTCACTGTAGTTATTGTTTTTTCACTGTTGTGGTGGTCCAAGTCCAACACTCGATTTTTGTCCTAATATCCTATGTACAAATGAACATACATCTCATTCCATTGGAGTATGTATATTTTATTGTTTTAAATTTCAATATTGTTGTAATTTATCTGTAGTCAAAGAATTGCGAACAAATGGTGGCGGTACTTCCTGCCTAAAAAGAACATCCTGTTGAGGCATATAATTAAGGAGTCATGGAGTTTCAAGTGAGTTGATTATAGACTATTAGACATTAATCATAAGTAAACTCAGATATTTCTAGTAATGTTATTTAATTATAAGCTTTATTGAACCAGAAAAGTTATCCATTTTATTATTAAAAAAAAAAAATAGTATGCAAATGGTACCATTAATATCTATACCCGTTTCTCAATTAAATACAAATATTGACCTTATTAAATACATTAATATTTTATTGCATGTGTTAAGTATGTGATATTTTAATTACCCAATAAGAATATATTAAATACGTTAAATATATAGATGTGTAGGTAATTGATAATTACCATTGTTTAAATTCTAATATTTATTTCCACCACATTATGAAAATAAGTTTTAGGCATCAAATAAATCATATTTTTCTTTATAGGTAAATGATTAACATATTAGGTACCATTTAATATCAAGTATAACATCAACCCAATTATTATCTAAACCTGTTTGTATAATGTTTATAAATTTATAAATTCATTAAGTATTATATGCGGTAGGTAGATACTTATACATTTTATTATACAATAATGATTTCATTATGCTAAATTTATTGTGTACTTACATTATTATTATTATTATTAACACCAAAAAATAACTAAATCAGACATACCATATGCAATATATTATTTTATAAATTAGATTTTTTTAATTAAATATATGACATCATATTTTGAACATATGTGTTCTATAACATCTGCTAAATGTTCATTGTTCTTTTGTATCCTTATATGATTATAATTTTACCAACATAATTATTTTATACAAATCTATCATTTTAATTTTTATTTGCAACTGCATAATAATATAGAATAACAAAGATACTTTAACTAGGTACCACATTATTTTTCAAATAAAATATTTTAAACCGTAACATAATACATTCATACTTACATTATAATATTTACCACATAGCATATTGTTCCATTAGGTATAATACCAATACTTGTATGGTTTTTGTAATCCATCATATTTTTTGTATTGATTTTGTACTGGACACTTGGAAATTACATACTAAGTACAAGTTTATTTTTCTAGTATGATATAACAAAACAACAATTGTCAATTATAGAGGTAAATGTTTCATTAATAACCACAGAAATTGTATAAGGAATTGCATTAAATAGGTAAAACGAACATTGTATATTATTTTAATGGTCTGTATTACACAATTAATTACACCTTTTTTAAGACAATTATGTTGTTAAAAAATCTAAAGAGTTGGTATCCATTTTCCCTACCACTCAGTATGTCTGTTACTTTCTTTTAACAATAAAATGATTAGGTATCAACCCATTAAATATAAATACCATCTATTATTAAGTAACATTTTACTAGGTACCTGATTCTTTAACTTTAAACTGTCAGCTTTACTTAAATTACGACCATTTTTTACCATAATTATTTTGTAAAAATAATTACACAGAAAATATACATCGTTTCTAAGTTGAATTATGTTATTTACCTTCATGTTTCATACCAAATTAATTACAGTTAAATTTAAAAAAAAAAATGTTATATGACCAATAAAACTGGTTTTTACATTGCATAAGTAAATAGACTCAAATAGTAAATTGCATGTAGGCATTTAATATTTAAATAATTTATGCTACTATAGTTAAGAGTTTTTAAAATTTTACTTGTATTTATTAGTGCGACAAATATTTTTAAATGTATCTCATTTCAAATTTCAGTAATATATAATATATGACCTCACTAGTAATTTTTCTCACCAAAATACTATGTATACCTACAAACTAAAATTTATTTATTTATTTATTTGAATATTGGCAGTTAATATAAAAAAAAACTGCATTTTAATACTATTTTATAAATTTAAATTATAATTGTAATCAAACATTTTAATTTTCACCATAATGGCATTTCTAAATATAGCTTAACACATCATGTCTTGGTAATGATAGTTTTAGTTTTAAAATTTTAAAAATCTCTTTGATCAGAAACTTAGACAATTATACAGACATTATTTATATCATATTATTGAATTATCACTCAATCAGAATAACAAACTAAATTAATATACCTACTTAGGTAGTAACAAAAATAATAAGTAGGCTAGTAGCTCGAACTGAATATGTGCACTCCTTAAATTTGTTAGACACATCCTAGTTAACTGCCCATCCAATAATACAAGTATCGTGGGTATGATTGGTGCTGTGGATTTATTGCACTTTACAACCATAACAAATCATTTAAAATTCCTATGCATTCAGTTTAAATACATTGCAATGGCCAATGACCTATAATTTTAAAAATGGAAAAAGATACCTTCTTTATATATATAACTTAAAAAATTGAATTTTTTCTTAGATAATTCAAACTTTCAACGTTCTACAACACGCTAAAATACATGCATTTTGCTACTAATTCACAGCCTTAGATATATTGAGTTGTGTTACATAATAGGTATAATATGTGTATATTTTGTATGAGTAAATTAAAAATGTGTATGAAGACAATGAAGTGAACATGAAAAACATCTTCCTTATTTGCAAATTTGCTATGGAAAATAAACAAATACTGAAATACATAAAAGTGTACCCAAATGAGCTTTCCATAAAGAAATGTTCTGAGACCTTATTATGCAAATTAGGTACTAGTAATTTTTACTTAAATAAAGTTAATTTTAGATTATTTTTTCAAACAAATATAACAAAAATCGAATATTACACTTGACGTTAACAAAACGCATTTTAATTGTTTGAATTAAAAATACTCAGACATAAAATTTCAAGTATAATTTTTTGTGGAGGTCTGGTTTTTTAAATATTTTTTGATTATCCCCTTATATTATCTACTAAGTTCCTTCTGGGAATTGCAAATATTTAGAATATTAAAAATTTGAATAGGTGTAAGTAGTATACCATACAGATATACACCGCATATTATCCTAAATTTAGTGAGTATAAGCTAAAAATAACTATAGAACTGAGTATATGAGTTATGAGTATCCCCTTCACCCCCTTAACATCACACAGTACTCCACAGATTTACCAATGATAATTTGTTCAACTTATGTAATTATAATGTAGCAAACGTTTACTTACATCTAATTAATGTATAAATTAGTTTATAAAATTAATTTATAATTTATAAAAAAAATGTACTCTTAAATATACATTGTTACAGCCATGTGTAGCACATGGAGCATCTAGGTTCTGAGTGTTCTGAATCGATCTCCGAGTATAATTGTTAATTTTTATCAGATTAGATATTTATTTGAAATTATCTATCCTGTCGTTTATTTGTGAGCAGAAATTCTGGTAGCATTAAATATATTTAATAATTGTACATACATTTTTATTTTAACCCATATTTAATTTATTTACGTACCTATACGTTTTGAATTAAAATTATACTCCTCCAGTCCTCCATTTTATACAGATTTCTATCTAAGGTTAAATTTAAGGAATGTCCGTGTACTTGATCTAGAAATTAAAAACTTATGGTATTTATTTATATTTAATAAATGTTCGTTAAAAAGTAATAAAATTCTTATATTTTTCCCATCTCGTAAAACGTAAGGCTGAAACCATTTTAAAAGTTGATCGAAGTAGTTCAACCACACGAATGCAAATGTGAGCAATATTACACATAATCAAAAACTTCAGTTTGAACTATATGACTATATGAGTTATGTAAATGTAAAGGAAAAAAATGTCGGGAGTGGTTATCTAAATTGAATTAACACTGTCGATAAGATAAACTCAAAAATAGAACTCATGGTTGTGATACCAATAGTTTTTTTTTATGACTACGTTATAATATTTATAAACGGTTCGATATTTTAATGTGTTTATACCGTCGTCTCATAGCGCCGATTACTAGCCTAATGGGTCGTCTTTGTATTGTTTAAATACCAGATAGCACCACGAAAACCTTGAATTACTCACAATACTGTGTTTATTCAGACTGGAAGGAGTCCAAGTCCGCGCATATGGGGTCTTCTCGTATTAATTTTAATCCAGCTCCAGTCACTAGTGAGTATTTACCGGTTATTAGTGAGCTGCTGCATTGACTCACCGCGACCCGTCGTGCTTGTGCCGCCGTTACGTATTTCGTTCGCGATTAGTGATCAAACTTTAATTTAAAGTATAATATTAATAAACTACGTGTGTTTAATTTTATAACCGACAACAAAATCATAAATGATTATAAATATATATATTATTTCATTATATATTTAAATTTCGCTCGTAAATTTTTAAGAACCGATTTAAATCTCTATTTTATAACCCAATCGAGTTTGTGCGCAAGTAAAATGTATTTATATTTTCAGTGATTACTGGCTATGTGTGTAACTATATTATAGGGTAAACAATTTAATAAGAATTATTTTTATTTCATTTCATTACTTGATATTTTATCACTAATTTTATGGCTATTCAAAAGTTGTACACACAATTTAATTCTATATAATTGTTTTCACATAAAAATAATAATAATACTTAATTGGAGGATTAGGTTAAAAATATAATTCCAATACCTATAAAAAAAGGTATCTACATTTAATTTAATGTACCTACCTACCTGAAGTACTAACAAAATATAATATTCTAATGAACCATAGTTATTACCACCTTTTATGAAACCTTATATCGTATTTGACAATAGTTAAAAACTTAAAACTATGATAATAATATGTCACAAAACAATTTATTATACCGCCAAATTTGTACATCTCATTCTAATGAACAATCAGTAGCGCATACGATAGGTACCTACATTTATTCGAGATATATCATCTGTATACGATTGTGAAAGTTATTTGTGATGACGAAATTGTTCGTTTCTTTTTTACTATTGAGTTTGATGTTTTAACTATGTTGAAATTTCAGTATAACTTTTAATTTTTACAGTGAATCGAAGTACAAAATAATGTACTAATGTATATTTTTATTAAGAATGACTTAAGTGATTCATTGGATTATGCATTTTTTCTATGATTTAAATATGACTTTAAAAAGTACAATTTTACACGTAGGTAACTATTTTGATTAAATCAATTTTAACATGTCGACTCACAAAAATGTCTCCATAAAATACAACAAAGATATAACATATTATACCAAGTTTTATTAATATATTATATAGTTAAACAGAGCATTTTAGTTTATTTCATTTTTGACTGATTTAATCTTGTTGTATTTTAACGGTCGGATTAAGATGTCAAGATGAATGATTTTGAAAAATTAACTATATCATACGATCATCATACTATTAAGACACTTCTAACCTACTAGTATAAAACTAATTTAGTTCACATCATATTATTTATCGTTCAAGTATTCAAAACTATCAAATAAGGTCTAATTCAATACTTTTTACGACTTTTTATATCCAATAAATGTAATCTCTGTTTTACTGTTCATTATACATAGGTACTATTTGCAGTAGTTCAATTATTGTAAATCGTTAATCCCACGAAGGCCTTCAAATAAAAAACACATTTTGTATCCATGAATTCATAAATTGTTTAATTGTGTGTGCAACTTCTTCGGGTTAAAGACAGTTTTTATCTATAAGTAAAATATAATTCATAAAACGCTATCGTTTAATTCCAGTCTGTAGAGAATACTGAATATTCCTTCGTAAAAATTATAGTCTGAACATATTATGTATTCAAATTCTTAATACTATCCCGCAGGCCTGGTCATATTGTTTTCGACGAACACTAAATTATCATTTGATTTAAACTACATTTAAGGTTTCCGTTAATGATTTCGAGTTCAAAATACTTTTCTTTAATGCATATATATTTAACAATTAACATACCTTTCTTGAAATCGAATAGATTTTTAATGTCTATGTATCTCTAGACAAATGTGTCGTGACCATATTTAATAATATAGTACACCTTAATACGCCTATCCTATTACACGGTACGTTAATTTAATAGTGTTGACGTTCTAGAAATCTGAAACGCAAAATAGATAAATATCTCTTGTATATTGTTCTATTGAAAATCAACAAAATTTTATACTTGGATAACTTTATTAGGACAACTATAATAACTAATAATATTTTTAATAATAAATGCCCGAGCCAATCCCACGTTTTACCTTGTTGTGCGTTGTGCGTATATACCAAGGGCATGGTAGGAATTCGTTTTTTCACAATCTCCGGCTCAACTATATGTATAAAATACGTGTGTTGTATATATATGACATTTTTTTCTTTTATTACTGCTTATGGTTTTGATTAGGTTTTTATTCTCGAAAATAACTAGAAACTTTCGTACTCCATTTAAGGACGGTAAGGCTGTGGAAAAAGTAAAAAATCACTTTTTTTGGCATTGGTCCCTTTGCGGTTGACAGGTTAAACTAAATTTAGCCCGATTTATCTTATACCGCACTGCTGCACATGCGATGACACTTAAAAAAGATGTATTTACATAAATTTCGCTACCGAAGAAGGGGATAAGGAAACGAACGGTTTTATTGCCCTCCTCTAAATAAACCCCCTCGCGCGGAGTGTCGTCCGCTGTGTGTAACCTCCTCCCCACGCCCAACCCACGCCCACCCATAACCACAGTAAAAGCATTCGTTATACGTTATAAACCATCACAACACATAGGTACTTCTGAACTTGGCGATAGTAAAACTCACGTTACTGACGACCACGGGGGTGTACAAACTTACGAAAGTTGACTTTTCGTGAAAGACGGATTCTCTGCCGATTGGAATTGTCTTCGAATGCGTTTTAGTGAAGTATATTATACAGATTTACACATACATGCATAATACGCTATTTACGCGTGTACATTTACGTTTTGTGAAAGTATAAAACATACATCGCTATGTTGTGCACACACGTGCCTACATAGCGCTGGGAGGTTTTTCATATAATATGTGCTTATACGTATATTATTATGAAATTATTTTTATTTGAGTAATTTTTGTTAACGAAGGTGTTAACGGGGACACACCTGCGGCCGCAGCAGCAGCAACAGCAATACTTTCCTGTTTCGTCCCGCGTTATTGCACGCGTCGCGTCGGTTACGCGCGTATAGGCTGAGAACCCGGCCGTACCCTAAAAAATATTATAATAATAATGAAAACCGACGCCCATTCGCGCGCGCACAGCAATCATAAATAATAATAATAATATTGTATCAACATATTATTATCATATAAATACAATATAATAAAGCGTAGTGAGTGTGTTGTGTGTGAGAAATCTACTCTAAAGCCCAAAAAAAAAACTGACTACTTCGACGAAATTATAATAATATGTACGGCGGTAAAGAACGACGGTTCCTCCTCTGCCGCCGCCGATACAGTCGTACGTTACGTCCGCCGCACGTTCTGAACGCCGATCGCGCGGCGCCGGTGGTGCACTTGTGCGACTCGCACCGCCGCCGAAGCGGCCACGATGTTGGCCGGCGCGCTTGACCGCGTGCTGCCGGGCCGCCGGTCGTCATACCTGCACCGGGTGAACGTGGAACGGCGACCTCCGCCGCCGCCGCAGCTCCGGCCGCACAGTTACCACGGCGGCGCGACGGCCGAGTGTCAACGCCGCGACGGCTTGAGGACGAGTGGACGGAAGTTGGCCGCCAAGTTTTGGTCGTCGTGCGGATCGTCCCGGTCTTCGGCGTTGGTCGGTGGATGCGTCCCCCCGGACCCGGTGGCCGTGCGCAAACGGATGGCCGCCACCGCCGCGGCCACGACCACCTGCAGCAACGGCGGATTCTCGAACGTTTCGCACACGTGGCGTTTCAAGCGGTTAAGGTACGACGACGACGACACCCGCGCCATCCATATATTATATTATATTTGTATTTATTATTGCAATTTATTTGTATTTATTATTGCAATTTATTTGTATTTATTATTGCAGTTATGTCGTTTATATATTATTATTATTATACCCAATGTTCTACGCACTGTACGCGTCCAATCGCGGCTACTTTACGTGTGCATGATTATATGGGCACTCAAAGATAATATTTTTACGGTATTCGCGTTACGCCATTATATGATTTTATGTCATATTATAATATGTATATATTATGTTGTTATATATATCGTCTTGCGATCGGTCGACCTCGAAAGACGGAAAAAAGGTGTGTGCGCCCGTAGATCGCCGTCGTCGTCGGCGACACCCGGCCGAGTGGGCGAATTATTTTTTCCTCGGTTACAGCGGCGTGTTCGCCGAGACCTTCCCGCGATGACATATTATTATAATAATATGTATTATGGTTCGGCAGATGTTGGCCGTAGCCGCGAGACGTTCGCGGTGCACACACGTCCGTGTGTATACCAGCAGACTTATTCATAATATGGTAAGAACCAGATCTCGCCATTCGTTTGTGCGTGGAAAAACGAGAGAGAAAACCGGCACCGGGTACGCTCGTGCGACGTGTGTACCGCAGACGCCGTCCGCCGCATTGCCCTTCGCGAAATACCACTTTGGGGATCGCGCCGCCGCCGTTTCGTCCGGTCCATTATTATTATTATTATTATTATTTACGTGGACGCGGGCGTACATGGCGTCCACGCACATATTTGACTCGCGTATCGCATAATATATTATGCTGCGGAAGATCTGCGCCCGACTCGTCTGTACAGATCTTTGTTCCACGTGTATAGGCGTATGTTTAGGCGCACGTAAACGCGTAGGCAACCGCGCGAACCGCTGCAACTGCGGACGGCCGTGTATATACAACCGTATTGGGCTAATTATATCGTGGTCCGTCGTCTTGGCGGGTCGGGTGGGTAATTAATTCGGTCGAACCCTTGATCAGAACTCTGTGACTGTATTTCTTTATTGCTGTATTTATCAGTGATATTACCATGGGCATATTATTATTTTATAATGTGGAAGTAGAAAAAGAGCGTTTTCGATTCATAATTTATTATTGGTGATCAGAGTATTGACACCCCCTTCCCCGCCCCGTGCACAATATTCTGCGTTGAATGATCCCCGGATAATGTTCGATTTTTTAAGTAGGTAGAGAAATATAATAAGTTTAAAACGCCAATTTGTCGCTTTCTATACCTATATATGCATACCTATATATTTACAAATATATTATGCAAACAGGCGGCCAAATGCCCACACTATAAATTATTTTTACTAGTTTAGGTTTATACCTCGGTTTATCGACACCTGCACGACAGCACGTTTTTTTTACATTCTCTTGGCTGCGCTATACGGTTCGAATGATTAACGCATTTGGAATGTGAAAAAAGTCCGTTTTTTCCGTTAGTCAAGTTACTTTATTCGAAAAAAAAATTTACCAATCTCATACGTTCAACAATATTTTTTAACATCATTATTATTATTACTATTTTTTTTTTTTTTTTGATTAAAACCAATTAATCATAGTTTTTATATTTTTACTTTTATTATCTTAATCACTCCATATACCTGCATCTATAAATTATTGTTCTCTTTGTTCGTAAAATACGTTTGCTTAAAGAAAAATGCTACTAGATTACACGTTTTTATTAACTCATATAAACGATTTTTAAATGTTTATGCATCACGTCATTGCACGTCTCGTTTACAGATTTCAGGGACGGTGTCGTTTTTGGTCTATACACGATTTGTATATTGAAACACGAGTTGAGACGCTTCTACTATTACTTATTGGTATATTATAAATATAAAACAAACAAGAAGATAATATTATATTATTATGTACTACATATCAAACTATCCGTGCTTGACCGTTTGCCAATGAGTATTAACAATGTAGAAAATGAATAAATTGCCGTCTGCGAATCTATTTAATCGCGTAGTTGGCTCTCGTGTAGGTACCTATATTTTATTTTTCTATTACTACTTTATTCCTATACGACACATAATAGATAATTATGATAATATAATCTTTAGATCATAACCGTATGATGATGATTGAAAACGTATAGTATACTTAATAAAAAAATTAATTTGTTTGTATGCTTTATAAGTACAACGTATAATGATGATAGTATCATAACCATATATCACGTATAATATTATGCGTAATAAACTATTTTTCGAATCTTGCGAGTAGGATGATTATTTTCCGTGTTGGTATATCACGCATATCATATATATATATATATATATGTATACATGCGTATTGGATCCCCCTCGTATGTACATCGTCTATATATATTATTGTGGACGGGAATAAATTAGGCATGTGCGTTTTCATCTCTCGCGCGTGGGATAAATCCGTTCAACATAATATAATATGTAATAATAAGCGTATAATATGTAATTACGTTGACCTTTGAACTCGGTGTGTCGATACATTGACGACAATATTAAGTTCCTCATTATTATGCTTGTATATTACACAGACTATAATATAGTAGGTGTATCAAAATACGTTATCTAAACAGACCCCACGACGCGATGTGTCTGTGTATATATTAAAATCAATAATAATATTAATAAGTATATAATTACTATACAGTATACAAACATATATATATTTTATCTTTATCTAACAACCTTAATTCAGTACCTTCCTGAAACATTTTTGAAAATTATGGACAAGTTCCTACGACCATTAGTACACGCCTTGTAGATCAAAGGCTATCTTCATCAAAAGATATTATTCCTTATCAAATAGGTTAACGTAATATAATATTTGGCTATAATATAACCTACCATAATATTTATTATGACTATTATTATTATTATATGTATGTTTATCCAATCCTCAATATGTGTATTATATTTAAATATGGGATTTTTTTTGATAAAACAACAATATAACTCAGAGTGATTGTTGGTGAAATCGCATTTTTATTTCGTTCAGCTTATAATAATAATAATAAAACGTCTAAATTCAATTTTTCCAGTCATGGTAGCAAAACGCCAGTGGAGGAACCGTCGGCCAAATCAACGGAAATGGCTGAAAGCGGCAGCGGAGCCGCGATGGCTTCAGCTGCCAAAACTGGATCAATCAAAGTACACTTGCCCAACAACGGATTCAATATTGTAAAGTTCATCGATAACATCAATGTCAAGGTAAAATCAGTATAAAAATGTATTACAACAGCCAATTGTAAATATATTGTGTCTAAATATTATATACATATTAAATTATACTAGGTGATAATGAACAATGTATTGAAATGTCAACATGCATAATTAATTTTTAATAAGGTTTTTACGTAGTAAGAAATAATTAAGCTACCTATATTATATCTTTTATTTTTTTTAGTGGAAACTCATAAATTTAATTTTATATAATTTTAAAGAGAATAGGTTATTTTTTCAAAAAATTACGTTACATAAATATTGAATATTAAAAAATTATAATTTTGTTCTTTAGAGTTAAAAATTGAAACTATACTGGTTGTAATGTAAGAAAATTGAATTTCAAAAACATAAACTATAAAAGTTGGTTAAAAATAGGTAGGTTATACTATGTTAAAAACAATTTATTTTTAAAGAAAACTTATGTCGATCGAAACAATTAATACGTTCATATTTATAGAAGAATCGCCTTGTATAAAATATTCTAAATGTTGACCGCGATATTATGACGCGCAATTGTTATATACCACTATAGTACTTTACATGTGCACCCATATCACTACCTATAATCTATATATTATTACGTTTTCGACGCCAAACATTGATTAAATGACGTTTGATTTTGTTTTCATGTTTTGTTTTCAAGGGTATCATATCTCTAGTCACGGGACGTTTGGCCAATGGGTGTCCTCAGTATCAAGGCGTTTACGGATTGCAGCTGTACCATCCGTTATCTGGCGAGGTTCACTGGTTACATCAGGATTGCACAATGTCCGAGGTACTAAAAAAATATGATGATAATAACAATAATGATAATTGATAATGTGGACTGAATATTCATATCTATATACAGAGTGGACCCCATGTTTTCCTGGTTTTTCTGTGTTAAACTTATGGAAAAGTGGGAAATACAGTGACCCATCCTGTATATAATATACGCGATTTCGATTCGTTAGATATATGTATCATCTATAATATACGAATAACATCAATAAGCTCGCAAACTGTGCATAATATATCATATAGTAAAATTACGAAATATACGATCATAATTTATTATATATACGTATTATTTTGTCCGCCACAGATTTACCACAAGTACGACGAACAGTATCCAATGTCCGAATGGAGGTTCGAGCTGCGCGTGCGGTACTCGCCCGACGACATGGAGGACCTGTACGAACGAGATCGATTTACTTATTTCTTCTATTACGATCAAGTAAGATCGTTTTCCTATAAACGGACGTTTATAATATAATATAGGTACATCTTACCACCTAGTCCTTGACTCTGCACCGTCAACCGAAAAAACCATCAAGATTTTCAAGAAGAAAAATTCGATACGTATCGATGCGGAATAGTTACGTACCACCTCGTATCGGAGTCCGAGTCCAATACGGGTCGGTACGTATCGCTTGTACATTGCACGTGTAACATCTTGAACGCCCAAAATTGACACGATACGTACCGATACCCTCCAAATTCTTTCTTGAAAATCTTGAATGATTCGCCTGTTATTGGTTTATGTCACATACCTAAACGCTTTTAAACACCACTACTGATAGACGTTATTGATGAGTTGGTATAATATATATCAGTTAAAATAAAGTGGCTATAAAATATTGTTGGCAAATAAAATCGTCTGGGGTTTTATTGAAAATTTGGCGGGCATCGCATTAATAATACGAGTTTGGTATTTAATTTTCAGCGGAGTCAGTCCCAATTGTCGTAACTCAACAACGATTATACTATGTATAGACTCGCCACTGTAATATCTGCATCCCTCCTACCATTCACCCTATCTGTACATGTATAATATTGTATATATTATTACGTTGCGTGTGTACAAAAAATAACTGTTCAAGTGTATGTAATTTAACCGTATTAAACACTATTTATTGTTTTTATTGTTAATTGGTAGTAATAATAGTGATCTTCCACCCACTTGAGTGGCGTAGGTGTTACTGAACCGTGTAACTGTATAAGTTATAGTAACCGCCACTGCGTTAAGTAAAATTGGTTTTATATTAAATATGTATAGATTATGTTTCATAACTAATTGCCGGTTATATAATGCTTCTTTTTTGTTGTGAAAAATCGTGTTTGGAAATGGCAATGGTTTGCAAGTCGATAAATAATTTTGTTATCTATAATACTCATAAATTCATGGCTATAAAAATAAAATACTTGTACTTGATGAAAAACTTGAGAGTTCTATTGACTAGAATAATCAATATAACTATAGTAACTACGCATATGGAGACATTGATTTATAGGCATTCAAGAATTTCAGGAATGTAGTCAAGACAAACAACAAATAGTAAAATCTATATTATTAATATAATATAGCGATAACTTATAACTGATAAGGTATGCCATGAAGCAGAATCGAGCAAAATATCACCACAGTTTTTAGCTTTGATTAAATTTCTTAAGACAATTGCGTGTATAATTACTATTGACAAGTGAGGAAAGGGGGTTACATTTGTTTTTTGTTTCTCGGTCCACAAATGACAGGCTATTTCCTGGTCATCGGCATGTATAATAGTCATAAATATTAAAACGCTTTAAATCGCGTATTTCAGGTGCGATTCGATTATTTGAGAAAAAACGACCCGGCGACCCGAGTGGACACGGACATGGCTGTACAACTCTGTTGTTTACAAATCAAATGTTTTTTCCGGGAAGTCCCTCAAATGTCGTTGGAAAAGAAATCCAATTTGGAATATCTGGAACGCGAAGTGAGTTTGAAATTTTCCGTTTATATCCATTACTTGTATATGCCAAAATAATTATATACATTTATACACTGTTATACCAACATTCGATCCTAAAAATGCTACATGGTTGTTGTTTTTTTTGTCCGTCCCCTTAGATCGGGCTCAACAAATTCCTGCCCTACTATATACTGGAATCAACGAAACCAAAGAATTTACGAAAAATGATTCAGCAACAGTATAAAAAACTTTCGCAAACACCGGAAAAAGAATGCGTGCTACAGTTTCTCAATCTCGTTTGGTCTTTTTACAAGTACGATGAAGAACAATTCAAGTGTTCGATCGGAGTAAGTAGAAAAAAAGCTAAAATTGTATTTATTTTCTCTCATTGTTATCTCGTAATGGTGTTAATGATATTATAACGATTATTCCGTTTTTAATAATTTTTCAGTCTGGTTGGACGATCCCGGTGGATTTAGTGATCGGACCGCGACACGGAATTTCTTACATAAACAACCAAGGGTCGGCGGTAAGAACATAATATTTTTGTTTAATTGCTTACTTTTTTTATATTTAACGCCATACAGCAGTAATTTATTAGTTGTTATCAACTCTCATTTTCAGCCCACCAAAATGGCGGATTTTGACCACATCGAAAATATACAGACACTGGTGTCCGAATGCGAAACACACCGTAAAACCTTGGTGCAGCTTCAAGTAACCGACTCGGCCGATCCCCTGGTGCTCAGCTGTTCGACGCTCGAGCACATGTACAGCCTGGCTAATCTGATTGACGGTTACTGCCAACTGGCGAGGAAAACGAACATTTCATTGTGGAATAAAAAAGGTGAGCAGCGGATGAAATAAATAACAATTTAGTAATTAAAATATAACAATCGCTACCATTATTAAAGTCATTTTTATGTGTATATACATTATACCTGTACTTTTGCATTTTAATTTTCAAGCTGCTATATGGAACCGTTTTCCATGTCCGTGCGATTCTAAAGGTTTGTGTTGAATGAGCGAAAACAAAATTAACAAATCAATGACAATGAATTATTATTTATTATGCACCCGTATTAATATAATAAACAGTATACTAAATAATTTAATCTGTGTTGAGATATGTTTTTTGTTTATAATATATTGTTGTTTGGCTGTATTTATCGTTTATAGAATCCGGAAAAATAAAAACCAAAGTGCCCGCAAGATTTTCCGATGATTATCCAGACGACGGTCCGATCGAAGAAGAAGGCGATTACTCAACACTTGCTAGTACGTATTTTGGTTGTATAAATCTTTTGTATATTTTAGTATTATTTTGATGCGTTTACAAATTCTTATTCAGTATTGATTTCAGCGTCTTATAAAATATTATAAAATGTATTTTTTTTAAAGCGCTTCTCACTATACATCCCAATAGGCTATATATTATATACATATATTATTACGATATGATATATTGAGATATGTCGGTAATCGGTTGTTAAATGACGAGGACAACAGTGACAAAAAGTTCACTTTTCCCATTAACATAATATTTTTAAATAATTTATTGATGACTCATTTTCATGAAATTTTTTTGTTTTCTCCTTATATAACTTAATATAAATATCTTTTATATATACAGAGTGTGCCGTAAGGATATACCCATTAGCCGTAGAGGGGGACTCGCCACGCGTACAAAAACCGGTTTCTTGCTATTTTACCTATTAACTAATAAATTGATAAAAAATCAGGAGATTAATACATTTAAATGTTGAAACGTCAATACTTTCAGAAAAATGAACTCTACAAAATGGCTATCTTCAATTTTTTTTTTAAATAATTAATAAAAAAAATATTTTTTAACTTTTTACCGAAACAAAAAAAAATTAAAACATGAATTATTTGTAGGGCTTATCTCTGTGAGTCTTATTAAAAAAACAGAATTATGATATCTACATTATTTCAGGAGATACCGCAATGAGTAAATCATCACGGGACACCCTGTTTATACATATTATATGTTCAAATTTTTAGTACCTTATTTGGAAGTACGAATTTTATTCAAATTGTTTCGTTAGAATGTTGTTTATTATTTTTCCATTTGAAAAAATTAATTGATATATTAAACGACGCTATATGATCTAGAATTATAGAGGTCTCAAAACACAGTAGATGGATTTGCTAGCAAAGTATACTAACCTTAAAATGTTCTTTTTGTCTTTTTCTATTTTAATTGTTAATTTTTAGATTGTAATTACGAGCTGTTCCGCGACCAGGTTGAATTGGGTGAAATCATAGGAGAAGGCCAATTTGGCGATGTGCACAAAGGAGTATGTCACATGCGTTCAATAAAAAATAAACCGGGAAATGCTGTAGCAGTGGCCATAAAAACGTGTAAACCTGATGCAGATATGGCCACGACAGACAAATTTTTGGAAGAAGCATGTAAGTGTGCTCAGTCAAATTGCAATGATTATTATTTATTAGTAGAGTTAGGATGCCTTTGAATGCTTTTTAGGTTGTCTATTGTATATTTGTATGTATTCTTAGATAAAAATCTATTTCATGATGACTAGGTTCAAGTATTATAATTTTGTTCTACATATTTTCTGAAATTTAACATATAATATTATGCGCATATTTAGGCTTGTTTCTGATTTTAATAATTTATTTTATGGTTTTCGATACAAAATACAACAAAAATATTTTAAACTAAAACTGAATCTAAGTTTGCATATTCGTATGTTATATATATTATATATAAATGATTGGTTATTTATTGTCATTTGGGAATTTTATATTGTAAATCGGAAATATGCATGCATAGAGTCAAACATTTATAACAAACTATCATTGTTCAATGCAACTCAAATAGTAAATTGTTTGTACGTCTTAAAAAAACCTATGTCATCGTCTTGATAATATTCTTATTACTAAATTTGATTATAGGTCAATTCACTCTAAGATTAAACATAACGGAATTAAATTAATTATTCAGAATGTACAATACTACAATGTGCTAGGTTATGTATTTGTAAGACTGAGACAAAGTATGCGGGTATGACGTCCTCTTAATTCATATATTTATGTGTAATTTGTTTGTACTTGTTATTGTAATTATTAATTTTATTTTGTTTTTTTCAAAGAACCTTCACCTTTAATTTTCATTAAATAATTAAAATATAAAAAAAATTGAATGTATATTTTTAATTTTTCGTGCATATTTAGCTACACTTTTTTTATTTTTTAGTGCAAACCCTAACCCTATTTATCAGCCAACTTTATCGGTTTTGACAACTTTGATAAATTAAGATATTTAATCAAACCAGTACTTATAATTACTTATAACTTTTAGAAAAGAAAGTATACTGCAGAAACATGTACGCATGGATTTATTTTGACCTCAAAGGCTATCGATTATTTACGATAAAATAGTTAACGATATTTATTCATATTTCGTTCTTAATACCATATTATATGTTGTAATGTTTCAGACATTATGCAACAGTTCGATCACCCGCACATCATACGACTGATCGGAGTTTGTTGTTCGCCGCCCGTGTGGATAGTCATGGAATTGGCCAAGCTAGGTGAGTTACGGGCATACTTGCAGAACAACCAGGCCCACTTGGACTTAGCTACTCTTATCCTGTATTCGTATCAACTTTCCACGGCTCTGTCGTATCTAGAATCTAAGAAGTTTGTTCACAGGTAAAAAATGGTGTATATTTAGTGTAGTTACTTTTTTATGATTTAGCTAGGGTGTTTAATATTATATTGTATAACTCGAAAAAATAGTTACACGGTCTGAATATAATATTATAATATCTCTCATTAGTATGAATTAATTGAAACAAACGAAAACTGTTTTCGCAGAGACATTGCTGCCAGAAACGTACTGGTGTCGTCACACCACTGCGTAAAGCTGGCCGATTTTGGTCTGTCGCGGTGGGTCCAAGACCAGAGCTACTACAAGGCGTCCAAAGGAAAACTGCCGATCAAGTGGATGTCGCCGGAGTCGATCAATTTTCGGCGGTTCACCGCTGCCAGCGATGTCTGGATGTTCGGAGTGTGCATGTGGGAGATATTGATGATGGGCGTGAAACCGTTCCAGGGGATCAAGAACAATGACGTGATTGGCAAAATCGAGAACGGCGAGCGGCTTGCGTTGCCGCCCAAGTGTCCCCCAAGACTGTACAGTCTCATGTCGCAGTGTTGGTCGTTCGAGCCCAGCAAGAGACCCACGTTCAGAGACGTCAAGGAAGTGCTTAAGTACGTCGATACATATACAGGAAACCGATACCTCAACAGTCAACAGTCTGGACTACGCGCTGAAAATACTGTTTCGTTTATTTTGTTTCAGTGAGATATTGATCGAAGAGAGACACCAGCAGAAGGAAACACTCCGGAGAGAAAATCGCAGGGTGCATACTCTGTCTTGGGGTGAGCGAAAAAATATTTTTTTTTAATACCGAGTATAACCGCGGATGACGGTAACAAGGGTGAGAGGGGTGACGAAATGTAGTACTATTTAACTCGTTTCTTTATCATCTCCCGGAAGATGTTTGCACGTGATCGTCATATCATGCCCGCCCTTGATTGCCCTTCGCTTTTAGATTCAACAATAAGAGTGTATTTTTTATGATACAATGTGCAAACCAATACAAACAGTGACCTTATAATACTATGAATACAATTTAGGATCCAGCGGCTCTCTCGACGACCCGTCTGCGCCGCCCAAACCTTCCCGCCAGCCGAGCGTGGACCTGCACAACAACAAGTCCGAGCTGCCCGTGTCCACTTACATAGTGGCACAGAACGCCGAGGTGCTCGCCCACCTGTTGAAGGAGAACTAGCAGCGGGGCGTTGTCAACCCGTCGGTGTACACGACCCCGGCAACCGGATTCAACACGGTAACCGTAGATTTCCTTAATGACGTCGACGACGACAAAACCATTTCGGCCGGGAACAGTATACTGAGCATGGACTCTGTGGGACTTATCCCAATGGACGGCGGCGGCGGCGGCGGCGGCGGTGGTGGTGGTGTCGCCGTCCAGCCGTCCACTAACAAGACGTTGCCTAGGAACTTTACTTCGGGGGCGGCTTCGCTACTAACGCTACCGCCAAACTCGGCGGACAAGAGCAGGCGATGTTCAGACGGCAGTCTGGGCACGTGCGCCGCCGCCGCTGCTGCTGCCGCTACAGCGGCGACCGGTGGAGGAATGAATAACGATGAGGTTCAGCTTGTTGTTCGCGTGTGACGCTCCTAATGATGCATGCCTGCGGGTTTTGCATGACGGTCGTTTGTTTGTGTAGAAGGCGCACATGAGGGTACATGCAGGGGGGGGGGGGGTGCTTAACACTGTTGACGTATAACTTGTGGAGTAGGAGGGATGGCGAAAAACTAGTCGTCACATTACGTCCCCAAAAAATTTGAAAATATTTTGCGTTTTTTTGTTTAATCTCGATGTAGTTTCCTTGTTGTGGACCGCGAAAGTGCCTAGCTTTAGTCTAGGATTTACACCCAACCCCCTCCCCCCCAAAAACGTTCTCGTACATTTTTTTACATGGTTATATTAACATTTATATTTCACTAATCGCTATTATAGATGTAAGTTGGGTGATTGGTTCATTACATTTATAAAACGTATTTATATTTTAATTTATGCTCTTGTTATCAAGAATACACGATGTTAACGCCGCCAAATAAATCACCATTCAATGTGCGTCTATTGTTATATTTGTGGTGTTCCGGTGTGTCTGTACTCTGTAGCTATTTGTCGTAGTTTTGTGTCTTGAGCAACGTTAACGATATCCGTACGCTCTATCCGTGTATAATATATTGTTGCTGTAGTGTGTTATTGTAATTTTTAGCCAAAATTGAAATTTGAAATTCCATGTCCTGCTTCTTGCAAGCCGATTAATATAATGCTATTTCAGTATCTTACAGATGTTTCCAAATAGTACCTAGCATGGTGTCATGATTCACGTAGATAATAATATAACTACTTTAAAACAACTATGCATGTGATTTTCATAGTTTATAAAAAAAATTGCTTAAATCATTTAATCATGTGAATATAATTAATTGTTTTCATTTTATAATATTTAGGGAGTCAAACATTTTGCAAACAACTCTATCGGTGTATATGATAATGAACCATTGTCTGAAGTTGAACAGTTGGAACGCAAGCTGAGACAACAACAAATTGAGTCTGAGAGGGACAACTTATGGCTGGCCGAAGAAGAGACAAACTTAGTATGTTCAATGTTAATTGATTCCATAAACTATTTTCAATGTTTATTTTGTTATTATTATAGAAAAAGCGACTGTCTTTAGTAGCCAGTGTGTCAGACAATGAATCTATTGATGGTAGATCATCGTTGACACCTCCTTCTTCCCTAGATCGAAGCACTAAAACAAAACCTACAGAAGAACGGGTTGTTGTAATAAAGGTAAGTTCTTATAAACATAATAGAATGCCAACTATTTTATTTTTAAACCTTCTATTGTTCTTATAGAAACTCGAACCCACTCCAACAGCCGATTTGGACAGAACTCATGATAAAGTATATGAGTGTACGACACTGGTTGTCAAGGCTGTTATGACCCTTTCGCAAGGTTAAAATAATAATATTATTACTATAAACTGTATATAAGAGTTTTAATAAATATTAAATGTTATTGTATTACTTTAGGGGTTCAACAAAATCAGACTGATCGATATTTGGAACTAGTCAAGGAGGTTGGTCTCCAACTCAGAGCTTTATTGACAAGTGTTGATAGCCTGGTACCATATTTCCCTCAAAGTGCTCACAAACAGGTAAATTAACACAAATAATCATCATTCAAGCTTATTGAAAATATTTATTTTACTTCAGGTGGAAATGGCACATAAAGTTCTCAGCAAAGACATGGCCGAGCTAGTCAACGCTATGAAACTTGCTCAAAATTACTGTCACACTGCTGTTGATTATTTGTATAGCAAGTAAGTGCTAATAAATTGATCCTGGTAAAATTATAACTATAATTACACTAGTTAAAATGTAATTTTTACAGAGAAATGTTGTCTTCAGGCCATATTTTGGCTATGGATGCCAAAAACTTGTTAGATGTTGTCGACTCTGTGCGCATGCAATATCCTGAAGTAGAAGCGATGATTAGAGGCCGGCAGTCTGAGACAGCCAAAGAACAACACCATGGTGTAACCGCCTCATAGTAGTACATTTTATAGTATGCATTCCTAATTCATTACGCATCTATCATACACCAATATTATTGCAATTATTTATTTTTTTTTTTTTATGTAATAATTAATCGACTGCCTAGTAACTTTATTAAAAATTATTTATTTTTTTTTACTAAATTTGTAAATAGTATATTAACGAAAGATATTTTATAGTATTTTACATTTTCGAATAGAACTCATTGTATTTGATGCTATTTAAGTATATATTATATTATATACAATTTATAAAATGCTTTTTATCGCTGTTAAAATTTGGAATTATTATTTGTTCCTTTTATAATTCATGGGTGCGTATGTGAAAAAATATTTTGATCCCAATCTTACTAGTCATAAAATATTTTTACCCCTAAATAATATTATATTATACGTAACTTATTTCCAAATAAATGGAATCAATAACCGTATCTAGTGTGTAAAGAAATAACTAAGTCTATTTGTTTTATTATTTTCTCTGCGTGATGTGAATGCATGTTGAAATTATACCAATTTTTATTTTTGTGTTGTATCAAACCAAATGTGTGAGTGTTCTATTTAGTGGTTTTAAGTGAGAGAACTAATGGTTTCCGTTTGAAAAATTCTTTATCAGTGCTTTAAAATTGTTTAAATGATTAAATTAAAATGTTAATCAGTAACTTTATTTTACTCATACAAAATACATTATTTAATGTTAAACATTTTATTAAAAATTAGTACTATGAAAAAACTTCTGTTTTATTCATAAAATTCAAAATTTAAGTTTTTTCCAAATAATTAAAATGTTTAAATGTATTATTTTTATATTTATACTATAATTTTATGTCAAATTTAAAAAAATTTAAACTCAAAAATAGGCATCCATGGATATTTTTATCTGCCTACTGTATCTTATATTCCTGTTTTATAATTCATTGTACATAAATTATGGTTAAAATAATTAAACTGTAATTTTTTTATGAATAACCCATAAATAACTTTATAACTACTTTTTTTAAGAAAAATTAGAAAATTTAAGATAAGAACATTATTTTTACTAGAATTTTTACTTTTTCATTACACTTATAGAGATATCGTGAACTCCATTATAAAAATTAATTAAAATGATACAAGAATGATCAGAAAAACAGCGGAAACCATAATCTTTCTAATTTTTAGTATTATTTCTCATATTATGTGATCTTAGATATTTTTAAATGCTCAAATGTTATTATTTTGATACACTGGTAATTTATTATTGTTTTGTTTTTTTACATAAATAATAAAATATGACATTAAACCAATTTCATAGTATATTGTATGTAGTTCACCTTTTGAAAATATGTGCAAACCGTTCGTATTTGAATTTATACTAATCCTAGTCCTTTGTTTCCTTTTTATTTTCTGTTCACTGTACATGTGGAAAATAATATATCACTGAAATTGTTGTACAAAATAGCATACTGTATAATATGTATGCCAGAATGCCAAGCAGAAAGCGCATTTATCAGAATGCAAATTTTATGACTTATAAATTATTGTTCAGGAATTCAAATTTACATGTCCACTGTATATAGAATATAATATTGTAATTCAATTAATACCATATGACTAACATTCATAAATCCTTATACTTGCTAGTTGCTAATAACAAATTAATTCTTTCGAAACTGTTGAACTTTAAATGACCAACAGTTGAATATGAAATGACTGATAATATATTAGTCATGACTCATGATAATTCATATACAAATCAGAAATCATCATTATTCAAATTAACTTACAATGTTAATTGAATTGTATGTTTAATGCAGTTCTTCGATTGACCACATGGCAATAATCAAATGTATTATGTATAACTGTCAAATTGAATCTAATACATATACTTACTGATATTTCAATCTAAACTCAAGCAGTCATACATTTCCAGTCTTCAATTTTATTTAAACACATAAATAATCATTTTTTTTTTCATAACAAAAATCAACTTAATTTTATAACTAACTCAAGATCAATGGAATGTTTACCCTGTCAAAACTCAAAACTATATAATATTGTGTAATCATCATAAAATAAAATAACATTATTTGTAACACTAAATTTACAAAAACAACACCAATTTGAAATTAATGTTACGATAAAAAACGTTAGTTTCTATTTCTTAAATAAAATTTCTTTCATAAATTGCCAATTAATAGAATTAAAAATATGATAATTGTGTTAAACTTTGATTTACAATAACAAAACTCTTTTGCAACACCTAAATACTAAATCATGAATATAATATTTATTTATTTTTCGTTGAATTTAAAACTTAATAATCTTAATTTTAGCCGTATTATATAAGTATAAAACTTTTAGTTGAATGTATCCGCTCCTTTGCGAGCTAACTTATCTGCTTGTTCATTACCATAGATGTTATTATGTGCACGTACGTAAGTCTATAAAATTAAATTATATTATATTTTTTACAATAATGACATAATACTACAATTTGACAATTTGACAATGACCAATAATGAACTCTTCTAGTCATTGTAACATTGCAAAACTAAACTGAAAATAACATACAAATATAACAGAATCCATGGCATTTATGCGATTGTCTAGTTGTTCCAGCATGTCCTTGTTTGCCACTAGTTTACCCCTACAATTCCTCCAACCATTACGCTTCCATTTATGTATCCACTTCGACACACAGTTGCATAGATATATTGAATCTGTCACGATTTCTACGCAGCTTTCATCTAGAAAAAAAAATACGAGTGTGTGTCATTAAAAACTAGTCGAGTATAGTACCTATAGTAGTCATCAGCCGCAACTATCATATTATGTCTTGCAAACCAAATTTGAATGGTGATCAATATTAATGTTGAATCGTTAATAACAAAAAAAATTAAGTTTAAAATTGTAATTGTTCATAACCTCATAACTAAGTATTCATTATGGGACACCCAAAATCATTTTAGCAGTTAACACCTAATCACAGAGCAGCTGCAGCAGCCACGCTTTTGGCAACATATGTTTATAATCAATCTATTGCCTATGCACCTACAGTCATTATTTATGGGTAGTGTCATCCTTTTACATTTATTTCCAATTTTGTATACAACATTTTATGAAAGATATCACTAGGTAAGTGTGATTTTAAAAAGTCAAGAGTACAAATTCTCCCACTCTAGACGCTTATGTATTTACTATTTACCGTCTCTAGATCAACACCACCAACGCAGTGGTTGCAAATTACAGTAAAAAAAAAATATGTATGGATGAGCCATATACTTTTTATAGGTACCTACTAGTGTAGTCGAGCAGCATGTCGATAGCTATAACCGCAGCGTATATCTCAGCGTTGTTGTTAGTCTGGACACCAGGCATGGATGATGATACATTCCTGCAATACAATATAATTAAAATAATGCAGAACATGTACATTGTTATTGGTTATGATGGCAAACAACACCAAGATTGACGGGTATCGGAGTATGTAATTATTAATTATAAAAATATCGTCTTGATGTACAATTTTACCCATGTGAACCCAGCACCACCTTAAAAAACCAATATTTCATTTTCAGATATAAACACTGAATGCTGACGACAACAATATCATCAAGATTGTGATGATATTTAAACATAATAATAATATGGTATAGACGTAATAATCATAAGAGTCGCGTATATTCAGCATTTTAAGAATTTGTCAGGGTGAGATCATCCGGTGCACATAATGTTGTCAATTTGTCATAATATAACTATAACAAAATAATATAGCTAGTGTTATAATAAATTATATCGTACGAACGCTGTCACACGTGGTAAAGAACTCTAGCGTCGCGCGATATAATTTTAATAATTAAAGCATTCTCCTTCACAAACATTTGTACATTTATTTATAGCCGAAATACTCCACAATCACCATCAATCCATACCCAACGTTATCCAATTCATCACAGCCGCCAATCTCCAAACAAAAATTTAAAATTAATATTTAGAATAAGTACACATAACGATACCTCTTATGTTATCGATTTAAATTATTTGTGAGCTCAATGGCCCATGTCGCCGAGGACATTGTTTTAACACAGAATATATGAAATATATTAACAAATAGCATATAATATTAGGTAAATACAATTTTATATCAACATATATGACATTTTATACTCTGTGGTATCAATAAAAAAAAAATATTTATTTAGGGATAGGTACCATATTATGATTGTTGATAGGTACGAAGCAGACCCACGAATTACCGATAACCTGCGACGCAACAACTGTACCTACCCATAAGCCCAGGCACCACCTGAGAATTTTAATAATTTGGATTTTTCAAATAAATAATAAAATATAAAAATTCCTTCTCTGTAAATTTTTAATTTATGCCCATGATTATTCCCAATACAGTAAATATTAAATACTTATTAGCTATTCAGGCATCTGACTATTCTGCAGCCACCGTCTGCCGCATTTTAGTACTGTGTACAGCCACGTCTAACTACGCGTCTATTATTAATACATTTATTTTGGTCATTAATAATATTTTTATGAATTTCTTTATCTGACATCTATTCTGTGGTACACTATTATTTATATATATATATATGTGTATGTGTGTGTTATACATCTAAAATTCTATCTAATTTTTATATTTTATAAGAAGTAATAAATAAAATGAGTTTTGTTTTAAATATATTTTGTAATACCCATTATTGAAGATAAATAATATATGTCATGTAATAAGTTTTAGGGGGTGTAGGGGGCAAAGCCCCCCACATCTTACATTGTGTTGCGGGCCTTGGCATCTCCGCATAAATAATATAATATTATAACAATGTGATATAGAATATATTAACCTTTCATAATGTTATCACGGTCTTAAACTCTGTATATATAATTGACATAAATATTATAACAATGAAGTATAGAATATGCACTATCTGCCCCTATCTATGTAATAAATCACTGGACAGGTACACGACTAGAAATCATGGACACGAGTCACTATTCTAAGAATCGGCAACAACAACCGAAAACACACACACATACAAGCTGCTCGTGCCGCTGCATCAAAAGAACCGCCATTACTTATAATGGAGCCCGTGGGACAGCCTGGGCAGATGTATCATAGCCACGGAGACCTGAGCAACTTCTCGTCACACGCGCACACGCTATTGTACTATTACTACTATTACTATATTTTCTGCTGAATTAACATAATTCTATAGTTCAATTTGGTACCTGTTGATTTGACTCTAAAGAGCTTACGGCTTTTGGAGCCTTTGAGATTACGCACACAACAATTGATATTAAAAATATTTTGCACCTAGTGAGCTACATCTCTGCGGGCGTGCCTGCGATAAGCCTGTGTCCGTTTCGCCACTGTTATTAACCCTGCCTACTGCATACGTCTTAATATTTCATGTCTTAAGTCTTAACTCTTATAGTTGATACTCACAGGTCATGATCGTCGTCGAACCACACGCCGACGCCGGCACGCGCCCCGCGGAAACCGTTTCCTGGGCAGGCGCCGTCCACGAACACCACCACATCACCGTACTTGTTGCAGGTAAAATTCATGACGAACGTCCACTATGGATGTCCGTGCAGCGTATTGATATGATATTAATGATGGCGCCGATGGCGGATGCGTGGGTAGAGACACTTTCGATTGTGTGCCGGAAGTTAAGGGATAACGACTACAGCGGTTGACGTCGACGGATCTGCACAGCAAAACGACCGGAGATGAATAAAATATGAACGCAGATACGATAATGATGATATTATTATTATTATTATTATTAGTCAGTCGTACGCCGAGGCGCGTGTCCACGTCGGCTGTGGGCTGTTGACTGTGCAATATAATTAAATAATAAGCCTACAAAACAAACCAGCTCTAGACAAGACATGTTATTATAAATATAGTGGTATATAATATAGTATATTGTTATTATTAATAACTAATAAGCTTTGTCGGCATTTTTTTTTCTGGAAAATCTTTGCTAAACAATCTTATTTTTAGTCCATCGAGCACAAAATTAATGGTCATAAATAATACGCCTCCTGCCTCCTGGCCTTCGTAGTTCATACCTGACGTAGTGTTGTACCTACCTATAGGACTCAGCGGTTCCCAAACTTTTTCCCATCGTGGCACGTTATTATTAGTTTTTATAAGTCACGGCACACGTTGGATAAATATTATATGCTTATCGAATAATAGGTATATCATGATGTCGGGTATTATTATCGTTTAAATATATATATATCACAGAACTAGAATTGAACTATTATGCAAACAACATCAAGCACACGTTTCACTTTAAAATTTATAATTACCTATATCTTTTTATTTGTAAATTTAAAGTTAATTTTTGTATTAATTATTTTTATTTGTATAATATATTTTAATATTTTGAAAAAAATCATTTTATGTTTTTTTACAAAAAAAAGTTCAAGTTGTCGCGGCACACCTTTCAAATTTCACGGCACACCCTTTGGGAAACACTGCTATAGGTACATCATACATTGAATACGGTGCTACAGTGTACTATATTCCCCAAAAATAGATTAAAAGTATAAGGCAGAGAACAGTCTACACGTCCTTGGTCCTTATCTGCGTATATTCTATATATAACTCCTCCCCCCCCCCATACGTATCTTAGTAAATATTATGTAGTAGAATAAAAAATAGTTATTATTTTAATAGTTTTTAGTGCAGGTGTATGATTAGATGTTGATCTCTGTGGGTGGTGTTTGATACTCGATATCACGGCGACAATATATGTATTTTGATTTATTTAAGTTATTAGAGAATAACCTAACGTTATTTTCTAGAGTATTACTGGATTATTTGGATATTAACTTCGCAACTTTGTTTGTTGTGACTGTGACTATTATCGCTAGCCCTTAAAAATCCCTACATTCGTAGCGATCATATATTCATATATATAAGTCAATCTGCCAACCAAATCTTATTTAAGTTATGTGAGTGACTTTAATTATGGTTATATCTTAAATGTACAATAACTAAATAATAATGATTATGCTTATAATTAACGATAATCTAATGGTAAATGTAAGATTATTATAATTAAATGTATAGCTCTCAAAAATCCCTGCATCCGTAGCGATCATACATGTCAGTCTGCCACTCTGCCAACCGAATGCAATTTAAGTTATTGAGCTCCTATAATTATGTTTATATTCTAAATAGATAATGAATAGGTAATGTTATTATAATTATAGCTAAGAATGGCTTAATAATAAAGATATAATGATGTTATATTATAATTATCCTATAATGCGATGACAGTCACAGGATCTTATATTATGTGAGTGAATGTAGTAGAAAGATAAGGTAAATGAAAAGATTTAATAACAAGATTTTTTGAGTTAACAATAAAAATAATTAATCAAATTGTTATCCCGATTGCTGGGGTGTTTCAATATACATATACGACTACACGCACTGTGACAAATACTCGATTGAACAGTACTGTAGTGGTCCAGCCCACAGATCGTGGTATACAAGATGAAAGATGATGAGGTGTAAATAATTCTAGGTCAATTTTAGATTATTATGAACATAGACTTTATTTGACGTGTAAAACTGATAGAATATTTTGGTACACTGAAATTTATCAGAGAGTCGACTGGCGTGAAGGTGCTCGTACTGGCTCTGGTGAATCACGTCTGAATATCGGGTTGATGGGTCCCTGTTTTATAGGCCTACTCTCCACTCTTCTCCTTGCGATAAGATGGCGCTGACCCCGTTTACTATTACACGTGTGCGTGGATTTCCAGGAAACGGTCGCCCGGTTGTGTCGGTCGAGAGATTAGAGCAGCGGTTCCCAAACTTTTTCCCATCGCGGCACATTATTATTAGTTATTATAAGTCACGGCACACTTTGAATAAATATTATCTACTTATCGAATAATACGTATATAGGTAATGATGTCTGATATTATTATCGTTAATAGGTAATAATATTATTGTCTCTTGATAGCTGTACTTGTATATATGTTACGGGCAAAGTGGAAAATTCGGACAATGTATACAATGCCCGAGGTATATTGGGCAATGTAAATTTTGAAGTATTTATACAAATAATCTGCATAATATATTTTGTTAGATGATCCTGGTAAACTAATATGAACTTATAATCGCCATCTGATTGTGCTTGCATATCGATCAAGTCAATTTGACAGCGAGAATTCATTTCAGAAGATATGATTGGTTTTAAAACCAACCTTTTTTAGCTGTACTTCCCTTATTTTTACACGATTCGCAATTATTTAAGTATAACATTATTA